TTCTAAGTAGGTGCTTTAGACCACTGAGCCATCTCACCAGCCCTGTAATAAACTTTTTTTTTTAATTTTATTTGTGTGTGTGTGTGTGTGTGTGTGTGTGGCCAGCTCAGCCCACCAGGGGGCGGGGCTGGCTGGCATGTGGTGCTGGGGGATTGAACGGCGTTCCCTGTGCTTTGCTAAGCTTGTTCCAAGTAGGTGCTTTAGACCACTGAGCCATCTCACCAGCCCCATAAATTTCTTTTTTTGAGACAGAATCCCATTATGTAGTTTAGGCTGGTCTTGATGTATGTATGTAGTACAGGCTGGCTTCACACCCAGCATTCCTGCCTCAGCCTCTTTGAGTGCTGAGGTCATAGGTTTATACCACTTCTGACTGGTTTATAAATATTTTATTTTTTTCTTGTATTCTTTGATCTGAATTTTTAAAATCTTTGCTCAGGAAATAACTTTCTGATTTCTTCCCCACATGGGAGCTAGATTACAGTGGGGAAGAAACGAGGGGTATAGTTCCTGATGGGGCAACAACTGTGGTACTCTCAGGACAGTAACGCAACCTTCATAAACTGAAGCTGCTGCCTTGGCATACTCAAAAGCAAGTCAAATAAATACATGCTGCCAGTCCTTAAGCTGTTGGTAGAATGGAGGTCATATTAAGTTTTCTCTTTCAAAAAAAAAAAAGAAAAGGCTGGGGAGATAGCTCAGTAGAATAAGCGCTTGCCTGGCAAGTGCAAAGGCCTGAATTAAATCCCCTGTTTAGCAGGCAGGGGGATTCCCTTCAATCTATTATGTTTTACTCATTTTTTTGTTGTTGTTTCAATTTTTCTTGGGGTTTTTTGTTTGTTTTGTTTTTTGCAGAACCAGGGATTGAACTCAGGCCCTTGCGCTTGCTAGGCAAGCGCTTATTCTACTGAGCCATCTCCCCAGCCTCCAAGACAGGCTCTTAACTAAGTTTCCAAAATGGGCTTCCAGAGTGAGCATGGCGATTATAGGTGTGTGCCACTATGCGCAACTTTGTGCTTTCTGCATACAGTGAAACAGTGATATGATTAGCCACCAAGCTCTTGACCAACTGGAGCTACTTGGACTCGGACTGGGGAAGCTCAAGACCCTGCCTACTTCTCAGTTCCCAGGCCAGGTGCCCAAATGCCCAATCCTATTCCTAGTTTCCTCCCTAAAGGAAAAGTGAAGGCCAGATATGGTGGCGCATGCCTGTAATCTCAGTTACTTGGGAGGTTTAAGTAGTAGATCACGAGTCAGGCCAGCTGAGCGACTTATTGGGACCCAGTCTCAAAAATAAGACTGGAGACAAAGATCAGCCCTTTTTCAGTTCAATACCTAGTGCGTGGGGGGGGGGGGGACCAGCCAAGCAGCTGCCCAGATGCCCACACCTACTTGGTCACAGCCTGTAGCTGACCCACTCCTAAAGTGGGGTACTTCCCCAGTCCCTCCTGGTGTCACAACAGGGCAAGCAACCATAGCCTGAGGGTTCCACATATGCTAGGCTCTGCCTCCATGCACAGGGGTAGGTCCCTCTAGAGACAGCACATGAAAATTGATGACTAGAAAAGTCAGTCAGTTGGTGGCCCAGAGACTGGGTTTCTCTGTCACCCACAAGGTCACAGAACTGGAGTTTTTCCATCCCCCCAGTCACCCTCTCCTACCTTCTTGGGTCTCCTCAGGCATAGCAAGTGGTGGACAGTCAGGCTCATGAGGGTGCCCAGCAGCAGGCATGAACAAAGGCAGCAGTGGCTCCTCTGGGAGCTTGGGAAGGCCTGGCCACCTTCCAACCTGGCCTTAAAATAAGCCTGAGCTCAGCCCACTGGGCTATATTTAGAGAAGGCAGAGTGACATGCATGGGTCAACCTAGAGTAGTGCTGGTGAACCTTTTAGAGCTTTAAGTGATAACAGACACCACTGGGGCCCATGTGTCAGGTTCACCACCACCAGCCTGGACTGCTCACCTGGTGACTTAGCTCAACCAAGAGCTACACCAATATAGGCTCTTCCTCAGAACCATTCCACCCAGATGCATACGCAGGCCTGGGGCTTTCATCCAGAGCAGCCACCTGAGGCTCAGCTTGTAGCAGCAATGCCTCATGGTGGCAGCTTTGACATAAAGAGACCCTAGCCAGACAGAGGGCACACACCTATAACCTGGGTTACTGAGTAGGCTGAGATAGGAAGATGGCAAGTTTGAGGCCAGCTTGGAAAACCAGAGGTCCTATCTCAAAATTTAGGTTTTGTTTTTTTGTTTTTTTTTTTCTGTATTTTAGGGAAGGGTTTACAGGGTGTTCAGGGTCTCACTAGATTGGACTCGTAGTGATTCTCCTGTTTACAGCCAGTCTCAATGACCGTCTCAGGCAGGCCTGGGGATCAAAACCCTGGCCCCTGCAGCCCTGCACCTGATTGCAGGTGCTTTAATGCGCTGAGTGATATGGCTGGTTTTTTTGGGTTTTTTTCCATGGTACAGGGGATTGAACTAAGGACCTTGTGCTTGCCAGGCAAGCGCACTTATTCTACTAAACTATCTCCCCCAGCCCCTTGTTTCTGTTTTGAAGGAAAGGTTTATTTAGCTCACAATTACTGGAGGTTTCAAAAAAAAAAAATCAGGGGCTGGAGAGATGGCTCAGTGGTCTAAAGCACCTACTTGGAACAAAATTGGCGAAGCACAGAGACCGCGGTTCGATCCCCCAGCACCACATGCCAGCCAGCTGCGCCCCCTGGTGGGCTGAGCTGCCCCCCCCACAATAAATGTTAAAAAAAATTTTTTTTTTCAAAAAAAAATCAGCTGGTTCCAAGGCAGACTAGCACATGGCCGAGAGCAGCAGTTCATGGTGGCAGCAAAAAAGCAGGAGCAAAAGGATAGCGGTGGCAACAATGGCAGCAGTTTTTTTGTTTTGTTTTGTTTGTGGTACTGGAGATCAAACTAGGGACCTTAGACTTGCCAGACAGGCGCTTATGCCACTGAGATATCACCCTGGCCCCTCAAAAAAATTTTTTTTTAATTTTGTTTGTTTATTTATTTATTTGGGGGGACAGCTCAGCCCACCAGGGGGCGGGGCTGGCTGGCATGTGGTGCTGGGGGATTGAACTGTGGTCCCTGTGCTTTGCTTAGCTTAGCTTGTTCTAAGTAGGTGCTTTAGACCACTGAGCCATCTCACCAGCCCTGGCACCTCAAAATTTAAAATAAATATAAAAAATAAAGGGAGGGCTGGAGAAATCACTCATGGTGGAGCATGTACAAGGCCCTGGGCTTGCTCCCCAGTACTGCAAAAAGAACGCCCTTGCACATTTCTACTCGGGCACATCTCAGCCCTGCAGGCCCTTACCCATAGTCCAATCATCTAACAAAAGTTGGACAAGCACCCACTAAGTGTGACCTGCAGGCTCGAAGGGCTTGGGAAGGAGGCACAATTGGAGCCCAGTGCCATCAGGGACATAGCACGAGTGGATGTCCACAGGTGTGTCCACACAAGATACACATGGGCCATGTCATGCTGACACTCATACTGGATTGGAGGCTGGTGCTTCTATTGCAGTGGTTTTTGTTTTGTGGTCCTGAGGACTGAACCCAGGGCCTTGGTACTGAGCTATATCCCAGCATTTTTTTTTTTTTTTTTTTTTTTTTGGTGGAACTGGGGATTGAACTCAGGCCCTTGTGCTTGCCAGGCAAGCACTTATTCTACTGAGCCATCTCCCTGGCTTCATTTTTATTTATTTATTTTTATCTTGAGATATGGATCTCACTCTCAATAAGCTGGCCAGGTTTGGCTCAAACTTGCCATCTTCCTCTGCCTCTTTTTTTTTTTTTTTTTTTTTTGGTGGTACCAGGGACCGAACTCAGGACCTTGTGCTTGCCAGGCAAGCACTTATTCCACTAAGCCCATGGTGCCTGGTGTGGTTCTTCTACTAAGTTTACAACATTAGGTATAGGATCAGCCTTTCTGCTTTCCATTTTCTCTGTAAAATAGCAACAGAGAGTGGTTCCTCCCTGGCACAGTGCACTGAGAACAGAGATACAGCCATGTGTCTGAAGTTCTTGGGACTAGGCACTTTCTCCCTGTTTCCTCTGATTAGGACATACAGGTCCCACAGGTCCAGTGAGGATGCACCGCAATGCCCACTGCTAGGGCCCAGCTTCCTGCCCTCCCTAAGTGAACTTCTTCCTGATGATGTCAGAGCAACTCTGTGGGTTCTGCCTTTCAAAGGTGCTGGATCACTGTATTACATCAGCCCTTTGTTGCTGGTTAAACCCGGCAACTTTGTTCTCTCCAGGGCTTGCACTGGCTGTTTCCTTCTGGAGTGCCCTGCCCCCCACTCTCAGGTATTTCTGTGGCTGCCTCCACATCTTACCTTTTCACATTGTTTTCCCCATCACCCAACTTTGTTTTTCTCAGAGTACAGTACTTAGGCTTTTTTTTTTTTTTTGGTAAGACAAGATCTTACCATGTCACCCAGGCTGTTCTGGAACTGGAGATCCTACTGCTTCAACTTTATAAGCGCTGGCATAGGCATGTACCACTACTCCTGATTCACTTAGGCCTTAAATTATACAGAACATACTGTGCATGTCAGTACTAATCCCGCAGGCCCTACAGAACCTGCTCAGTTATGTATGCACTACTTTAAATCCTCACTACAGCAATCTTAGACAGGAGAAACTCGGGCTCTGAGACTGCTAGCTAGATGCCTAAGACCACACAGCAAATTCTAGTAGTGGTTGTCTGCTGTGGTCACTCCAGCTTCAGCTGATAATGTGTTTATTGCATTACTTTAGTACAGTCGTCCTGCCTCGCCCCACCCCCAATGGCCCAGCTTGTTCAGAGCCTCCTGCTCACTGCAAAGGAAAGGAATCCCTTTGCCAGGGTGGGCATTCAGGGCACCTCCCTGGCCCTGGTTGTTGCTGAAGCCCTGCTTCTCTGTTCCCTCCCTCTGAGCCAGATCCCGCACCTGGCCTGGGCCACCCTTCTAGGGCTACGTTCAAGGGTTATCCTGTTAATAAATAAGCCGGTGCAGCTGCCCTTGGGCCAGGGCCTGTCCTTCAGTATCTCCGTTGGCCCGGGGACCGCAGTGTGCCCAGCTCCAGCCCATCCGTCTTCCTGGGGCCTGTCTGCCCCCTCTCTGGCCTCTCGTTTCCCTTCTGGTCCCCGCATGGGGACAACCCAGTCACCAGTGCCCAGCGCTGCGCGGCCCCCTTTCAGCGCGCGGCTCGGAGGCATGCGTCCGCCGGTTGCGGCCCTTCCTGCGCGGTTCGGGCCCCGGGGCGCGCGGCGCATGCTGCGGCTGACACATGCGCAGGGAGCTCGCGGCGCCACCGCCGCCGCCGCCGCCGCCGCCGCCCGGTTCCACCAGCTGCAGAAAGTCCCGGTACCAGAGTTTAGGGCCCGAGGGCGCAGGAGGCGCAACCTCCTCGGCCCGTGCCAGCCGCTCAGCCTGCGTTGCGCTCAGAACGTGTAGCGCGAGGCGACGGAGCGGCTGCGAAAAGCCGTGCTCGATGGCTGCGCACAGGTACACGCCGGAGTCCTGGCGCCGCAGCCCCCGCAGCAGTAGCCCCCGCGCCGCGCGCTCGGCGCGCTCCTCCGTCGGCACCTGCAGAATGCGGGGTGGTGAGGCCAGGAGCCAGCACAGGGCCTTTGGGAGCCAAAGACTAGTGGGGAACATGCGCCTGCTGGTGCACCTCAAGGCTGGTTGCCCATTGGCTGTGGTGGGTGATACAGGTTCACCTGGATGTGGGGCCAGTCATAAACCTCAGTGGGGGCTCAGAGGCAGGCCTGGCCCCAGTGATTGGGCAGGTCCCCAACCTGGCTGGACACAGTGAGGCCTGACCTAAATAGACTCCAGGTCAGGGGGCCATGTGTGCTGCATGGGTCAGGGGTCTGGTTGGGCTGGACTTCACCTAGACTTGGATGGGTGGGTGCCAGCCATGGGCCTCACTAGATAGTGCAAGACCTCTTCTGGATGTAGGGAACAAGAAGGCACTAGCTGGGAGGGCAAAACGCGGCGGACCTGGGTGTAGGCAGCCTCCCCTGTGCGCTGGAAAGTCCACTCCACGCGCGCCTGCAGCGAACGGGGCTCACATTCCAAGAAGGCACTGCCACCCTCCACGCCAAAGACCTTCCGCTCCAGCAAAGCAGGACGGGACGAGTCTTGGGACAAGGAAAATACGAATTCAGCAGTACAAGGAGGCATGGGACACTTTTGGGAGCTGAGTATGCAGCAGAAGGCAGACGGGAGGAGACACTCACCCCTGGAGCAAAGCATGCTGGGGTCGCCATTCCTTATGTCTTGCCGCCGGAAACGCCTGTGAAGACAGTGGATCCTCTTGAACCCTTCTTGCAGCCTTCCGGGTAGCAAAAAGCCCTCTTTTCCCATGAGTACCACCTGAATCCTGACACCACTCACCTCTTGGCACTAGGCTGGAAGCGCGTACACTTTACCCCATCCCAGGCACAGTAGGGGTCACGTGCCAAACAGCATTCTGCGCAGGCGCGGCCATGGGCTGCACAGCGGTGCAAGGAGATCTGGGCCACTGAGCTCCGTGAGGCTATGTACAGCTGATGCTGGAGGGCAGGAAGGGCTCCCCGCTGACCAAGGGTGGCCCCTTCTGTGCCTCCCGTCAGGCAGGGATTCCTTCCCCCATCTGACAGAAACACTGAGGTCTTGCTTAAGTTACAGAGTGCTTTTACTCAAAGCAACGGTTGTAACTACCAGGGGCAAGAGGGGCTGAGGTGGCTGGGGCATCCTGATCACAAGCTCAGTCCCTTCTAGCCCCCACCCTTCCAGTCACTTACCCTCTTGGAGGAGATTTGCATGCTGGTGACAGCAGCTGAGTGCTGAGAGAGAGCAAAATCGCTGGGATCAGGGCTTATTGTGCTGGGTAGCCGGGGTGGGCAACTGGAAGGTGAAGCCTCACCTCAAACACGTGCAGCTCTTCCAGAAGCAATCCCTCGGAACTTGGCTGGCTGCTTTTGGGGAGCGAGATCACCTTCAGCACCGTTCCCACGTCTGCAGGGATGAGAAAGGAGTGTGGCCACTGGTGTTCCCTAGTAGCAAAGTCAGAGTCCCTCACCTCTGAGGCTTGCATTCAGCCTGGTTGGTCATGAAGAAGTGAAGAATGTGGATTGGAACAATCAGGGAAGCATCCAGAAGGTGGGGCCACAGCCCAGGAGAAGATGTGGAGATAAGACTAAACAGACAGGGAAAAGAGCCTATGTGGGGTTCTGGGTGTCACTATTGGCTCTGACCTGTGCCAATGAAGAGAACGTCATAGTGCCCATCAGCAGCTGCTACACGGTCCACAGCGATTTGAGTGAAGGTATAACCAGCACTCACTTGCATGAAGACAGGGCGCCCCCCAATGGGCAAGACCGGGTTATACATGAGAGGGTGGTTCCTGGCAAACTGGATGACGTCGTCAGGGAAGTCCTTCGTGGAACTGAAGGTGCCAAAGGTCTTGCTGGGACACTAAAGAGGGCATGGAGGAAGGCAAGCAGGGATGTAGGTGAGGACAACATGGAATGTCCTCTGGGGACATGGAATGAGGAAGGAGACAGAATGGTGCCCTGGAGAATTAGCCGGTGTCATAGGGAGGCTCAGACTGAACCTCAGACTAAGGAGGAGAACAAATCACAGCTTTCCTATGATGATCCCTGTCTGAGGATGGTGAGCTTTCTCATCCATAACGAAAGGGTCCACATTTACCAAGAAGGTCCCAGGCCAGGTTCTGTACCTTTGAGGTTTTGAAATGAGCTGTGGCAGGAATCCTTTAGATACATACCATGCCAGGCCTGGGATAGGGAACACGGCCCTGATAGGCCACCCACTGGTGTGTGGGCCCCTCCTTGTGTGCAAACGGTCCCAGGAAGGCCCGGCGCACATCGTTCATGCTGTACACACACACAGCAGAGCCCTGGAAGATGCCGCTGCAATAAAAACAAGAGCAGAGTGAGGGTCACAGAGAGCTCAGCTGACCCTGACCTATGGATGCCCTCCATCCTGCCCCTTACCTGGATGTGGAAAAGACAGTGTAGAGCAGTGGATTTCGGGGATCCCTTGAGGACAGCAGGAATACATCCTCTGCAGGGAAAGCCCAGGTTGGGGAGGGCCACAGCTCCTCTGGCCCAGTTGTGCTCCTGGAGTCTGCACCCCAATCCCTGCCTCCATCCCACCTTCACCCCAGGCACTCACGGAGCTGGTCGAAGTGAGTGTCGCCCTCCATGCCAGGCACAGAGCATACCAACCGTGCCTTTAGGAACGTCGTCCACTTATTGACCAAACTGCGCTGGCCACCCATGTCATTCTACCAAGAAACCCAAGGGTATGAGAACAGTACCCCATTGGGCAAAGGGTGGGACAAGGTTGCCAGGGAGTGGCCCAGTGACTCCTCACCCGGCAGATCTGGCCGACTCGAGACACAGTCAGGCGCCCCAGTACTGGTGCTGCCTCCACTGCCAACTCATGGAAGAAGAAGTAGATTTTGTCATCATCTGGATTATCACTCTCCGGGATCCAAAAGACCTTGACAAACTTGGGTTCTAGCCACAGCAGGAGGTGGGATCAGTGATTCTGGGTCTCTGAAACTGGACCCACTGACAGCCTCTCTGCCCCTTAATGCCTGCAGCTGTATTCTAGAGGATCAGCGCCTGTGAGGCAAGCAGTAGCCACGAGGGGGCAGCAGAGACTGAGGCTACCTGAGTAAGCAGGCCTGGAAGCCTGGCAGCCTCTTCTAGTCCTACCCTTCACATTTCTCCAGACCTAGGCCTAGGAAGAAATGACAGTGTCTAGTTTCATCTTTACTTATAAATCTCTCCCTATCATATCATTCCTGCTTCAAATCCTCTTTTTGGGTCCCATGCATTAGAATAAACTACTCCACCCCTGACAGTCTAGTCCCCTAGCCATTGCTAACTCCATAAATGTTGTGTTCCTGCCTCAGAGCCTTCAGACTAGTTGTTTTCTTTACCTGGAATCCTCTTCTCTCAAATTCTATTGGCTGGCTGGTTTGTGTTTTTGGAATTAATGAACACCTCTCCTCAGCAAGATGGCTTCTTTCCCCTAACCCAGTTTCTTCTTCCCTTCGTCTCTATTCTCTCATGAGCCTCAAGGTCATTGGAATTGATCTTCTCATGTATTTGTTGTGAAATCTGTGTACTCAAAGACAGTATGGGCCATGCTTATCTGGCATGGGGCCTAATTATGGTAGCTACTTGGTGAGCCCTCACTGTCACCTCTGCTCATTTTATTTCTCCTGTGTGGCACCTGCCCTGTGGGAGGATGGCAGCCCCCTCCCACTGGCTTTCACCAGCCTCTCACCATTGAGCCAGCGTGAATCGTGTGGCTCTGTTCGGAGACTTGGTCGTTGGCCCAGGCTTCGAAAGATGGTAAAGTCTCGGCCCATGAGGTCTGCCGCCACCCCTGAGTACAGCTCCTCCCCTGTAGATAGGGCAAGGGCTGCTCAGTCAAGCTGGGGCTCCTGGGTAGGAGCAACTGTGGACCTCGGGAGGTCTCTGAGAGTTAGTGAGCTATGGGGACTCCTGGTGCCCTGGGGTGTTGGAATTTGCAAGGTTCTAGAACTTCTAAGAGATAATAGTTTTGTTGAGATCCCAACGTTTGGACTCACCCACCAGCACGGAGGCCGCCCGATGCCTAGGGTCATAGGGACTCTTCCCTTTGCCATCCTCCAGCCTTCTTGGTTCCAACAAGAGTATGGGTTCCTAAGAGACAGGAATCATTGCAGTCATCCCTTCTTTCACCCTCCCAGCCTCCCCTGCCTAGATCTGTCCTTACCTCCAGTCGGTGGCCCACTTGCACAAATGCACAGATGGGGTGGAAGGCTCCTGTGCCACAGGCCAGCACATGTGTGTGATTGTAGGGATGGAGCAACTTTACAAAGTTCATGCACTCGGTCTAGTGAACAGGTAGTGTTGGGGCAGTGAGGCTTCCTCTGGGAGATGGCACAAGGGTCCTTGTCCACCACACCATCCTCACCTGTCCCTTTTCTGAAACCACTCAGGCAAGTACTGTCATGGTCTGCTAGAACATAAGTGCTCCTGGTGACCAGCCCAACCCACCCGTCACCCCTCACAGGGTGGATACATGGAGAAACAGAGACCCACACAGTCCCCCCAACTCACAGGCCCCCCAGAAGAATCACATGAGCCTGTACCCTGACTCACCACCTCCAGACCTCAGCCACTTCGACCTTCCTGCCCTCTTCCCAGCCACAACAGACAGGCTTCTGTCTGAGTTTTGCCCTATCTCTGGGGCACCGGGCCCAGCCTCCCCACTCCCATTCTCCCCATCCCCACCCTGGTAGCTGTCACTCACACCAATGTCCTTCCCTGCCCAGTTGCACTCTTCCCGCCATTCCACTGGGGCTGGCCAGGACAGCTATGGGGTAGGGGGAGAAGAACAGATCACGGGCTTGGGATATGCTCTACCACACAGGTCTCTCCTCTGGGGAAGCCCACCCCTTTGACTTCTCAAAGCAGTTTGGAATGGGGTACTAAGGCTCTTCTTTCATTGGGAGCATTGCATTAGGGGTCCCTGGCACCTTCTTGGCCTGCTTGCTGATGTTGTCCAGGCTGAGGGAAGCCACATGATTCTCAGCACCCACAAACAGCCGTCCACGCTCCTCATCCACCAGCAAGGCTTCATAGCAACAGGTCCGCTCCAGCCTGAAGGTCCGGAGGCCGTGCCAGGCCTGGAGCTCTGTAAGCAAGGAACACCACCGGGGACTCACTTGCCATGGGCATCTCTGTCTGACATGTAAAATGGCCCCCACATATGTGGATGTGTGTGAGCTTACACAGATGAAGGCAGGCCCACCCAGGTGCATGTGTGGAGCTGCAGAGTGGGTGGCGCAGCCCCCAGGAAGAGGAAAGTAGGCTGAGGAAAGCGTGTTGCGACAAGCAGTGTCTCCAGGCGGACGCATTGGGAGGTCAGGCGTATGGACACCAGGATTCTGGGGGAGGTTGGGCAGGTAAGCACAGCCCTCCAAAGGCTGAAAGTTCCCTTTCAGTCAGCATGCCACTAACTAGAATGCAACAGAATTGCCCTCCCTAAGCACTGCCTAGTAATCACCCCTCTGAGTAAGGGGTGTGAGAAGGGAGCTCTCAGGGACCCTAAACTTAGGATTTTCCTATTGCCGATGATCTTGGGGGGGGATGGGGACTGTTGCTATGGGAACAGGAGGGGGCTTCCTGGAAAAGCATGAGGAGAATGTGGGCAGAGTTTGGGGACTGAAGCCAGGATAGCCTTCCAACTCCACAGGGGTCAGTGACAGGGCACACATAGGACAACAACCAATGCTAGACTCCCCTGTCACTCTGAGCTCCTTTTCTGCTCATCCTAAGCCAGGCCCTCCTGCCCGCCAGGTGCACCTACCTTGAAAGGAGAGCCGAAGGCGTGGGGGACTGGGGGTAGCATGCCCCAGCCCTGCTGCCCAGAGCAGGGTCAGGCCTGGGATCATGGCGGCGGCCTCAGCACGCCCCATGCAGGCAGCTCAGGGCGCTCAGGATTCAGCGGGTGTGTGTGGAGGAGCCTTGAGTCTCCCTGGACTCTGCCCCAGGATCTGGAAGGGAAGGAGTCGGCAGCAGCAGCAGCGAGGGCAGCCAGGGCGGGAGGCCTGGGGGGGGAGTCCCCAAGGATCAGATTACAGCCCCTGGGGAAAGAGGCTGGGGGGTCACATTCCACTTCCCGAGCCCTCCCCTCAGAGTGTGCCCCCCCTGGCCACAATCACAGACACACCCACGCTGGGCACACCCTCAGGTCACCCTGCACTGGCAGGCACCCGCCCCACCACGTCACCCTCCCCTCCCTAGTAACCTCCTCTCCTGTATACACACTCACAGACATTAATCACAAACACTGTGTGCCCACTTCATGCCAGCCTAGATCTGGGGCTAGGATTCTGGAGAACACAGACAAGGGCCCCATGCGGGAGTAGGCAGGACGCCAAGGAGGAGTCATCTCAGGGGGTGCCAAGTGGAAGAGTAAAGCAAGCCCATGGAGAGAGGGTGTGACAGGAGGGGTCAGGGCTGTGGATGTGGCCAGGACTCACAGATTCACAGAGAAACACAGAGGCACTTTGGGGGTGGAGCCAAGGCTGTGGGTGCCTGTCAGTGTGAATGTTCCTTGGTCGGAGAGACAGTTCAGTGTCATAAGTGCCTCACTGGCATGCTCAAGGTCCCAAGTTCAATCCCTAGTACCACAAAAAAAAAAAAAAAAAAAAAAAGAAAGAAGAAAGAAAAAAAAAAAAAAAAAGAAGGTCCCTTTGCAAAAGTGTGCATGTGTATAGTATACGTGCATGAGTATAGATATGTACTTGTTGGTGTCCAATCATGTGTTGTGTCGGGCCTGTGTAGATATGGGCTCTATTCGTAAATATGTGTGTATGTACAAATGTGATACTGTGTGCACATCTATGCAGTGTGTGAATGTTCACACACACGTCACACATTTGTGCCTATGCAAGTGTATGTGTGTGCACACAATTTGTGTGTCTCAGTGGGTGCACAAGTGAGCACACGCATCACTTTCTAAGGCCCTTACTGTGTGGGGCGTGGTGGCGCACGCCTGTAATCCCAGCTCTTGGGAGGCTGTAAACAGGTGGATCACAACGAGTCCGATCTAATAGTGAGACCCTGAGCACCCTGGAGACCCTTTCCTAAAATAAAAATAAAAAAATAAAAAAAAAAAGAAGAAGAAGAAGAAAAGAAATGAGATTAATCTAAGACCCTGAGCCTCCAGTGGGATCCACCCCTAAGCAGGAGAAGTTACTGCCTCAGCTTCCCACAAACCTAGCTGTGCCCTTGACTGCTCCCTCTCTGTGGCACACAGGCATTGATCACAGGGATTCCTGGGAGCTCAGGCTTTAGACCCAAGGAACAGGGGTCAGGGGGAGGCAGCTGCTCTCTCCCCACAGGCTCCTGGTGGAGATACTGTCCCTGCTCAGAGCCTCCGTGCTCCTAAGCCTCCCCTTCCACCTCCGTGGCCTTCCCTGGGTCCCTTAGGTCTGTCTGTCCAGAGCTGACTGGGCAGGTGCTTGCACAGGAGCCCTGGAGGTGAGATGAGGTTCCAGAGTGAAATCAAGCAAGAGAAGCAGCTGCTGGGGCAGGTGTCACCCTCCACCACCATCTCTGCCCAGCTCCCCAGCTCCAGGACCTCTCCCAGGCCAGGACCGCACCTCCCTTCCTCCAACTGCTGACACTTGCCAACCGATGCTTCTCTCTTCTCGGGCTGTAGAGTTCTGCAAAACTGCCACCTGGCAGCCTTCTCACACTTCACCAAGAATGCGGCAGAGGCATCTCCCCTCCCTAGGCCCATCTGCCCCAGGGAAGGAGAGAAGGGAGCCTACAGAACACCCTCTGATGGCTCCTTTAAGGAGCAGCCCCCACTAGGCCAGCACAAGCCACCGCCCCATGACGCTGTAAAGTTTGCAGGGCAGCAGGAGAGATCGGGTGACTGGGCAGACTGCCGGATGGATGCTGGAGAAGGCAGCCAGAGTGGAATGGGCACAAGGAAAAGGCGGGTAGAGATGACCATGCCCTGCTGGGCCTGAGGGTGAGGAGGGCCCCTGGTCCAGGCACTCAGGGTCACCCTATACCAGTCAAAAGAAAAAAAGAAGCAAAAGAAACTATCCCTCAACCTCAGCTCCAACAGCTCTCTCAGCAGGCATAGACTCAAAGGCTGTACTTCCTTACCTGTCCCTCCACAGCTGGGGTGTCATCTGAGAATAATGGGAGTTTAGCTGCTGCCTCAGTTCCTAGGGGTAAGCAGGGTGGGAGTTCTGGATGTCACACAGACCCCCAGGACTGGCCCCAGTCCTTCCTTACCAGTTGGGCTATTTACTACTTCAGCTGCCTGGCCCGCAGTCCTGTGATGACAACCTGGTGGGGAGAGAGAGGAGGGTGGAGAGAGGCAGGCACAGGTCTCCCAGCAAAGCTCACTTCAGCACTGTGGGCTGTGGATCCATCCTTATATCCACAGCTTACCCAGTGCTTCTGCATCCCAGCCAGGAAGTGGGTGCAGACTGACATTCCTGACTCACTCTCTCTTTCTAGAACAAACTCAGAGCCAGATACCTGAGGAAGGGCTGGTAGGAAGGGCCTGGGTCTTGGCTTGACCAGCTGTGGACACACCTTATACGAACTGCAAAGGGTACCTCCTTGGAGAGGCTCATGTTGCCAATGACCTGGGTAAAGGTGCCAGAGATTGAGGATTGGCTATGACTTCTCAGTACCCCCAAAGGCACTCTCTTGCCACATCTCAGAGGCCAGGCAGCAGTTCCTTAGGGAGGATTGTCAGTGAGGTTGTGTAGGCACTTCTGGTGTATGCAGTGCAGTTTTTTGGTGTGTATGTGTGCGCCAAGAATTGAACTCAGGACCTTGTGCTTGCTAAGCAGGTGCTGGTGTGCAGTTGTTGTTGTTGGTGGTGGTGGTTTTCTTGCAGAACCAAGGATTGAACTCAGGCCCTTGTGCTTACCAGGCAAGCCCTTATTCTACTGAACTGTCGTCTCCTTCCCCGTGTGTGTGTGTGTGTGTGTGTGTGTGTGTGTGTGTGTGTGTGTGCAGTTTTGTTGCTTATCCCCTGGGTACTAGGGGAAACTCATTTCCAAGTCCCTGGTGTCCTTCTTGGGGTCAGGCCTCTTCTTCCTACATTCCTGTACTGGTCTGACCACCTGGGAGGTGGATAGTGAGAGCCAGAAAAGGCCCAGGTGATGAGGAGGGGATTGGGATATGCATCCTACATGAGCTCTTAGATTTCCAGGGTGCATCTTTGCCTACTCCTGGGCAAAGCTGCCTTTCCTTTTGGACTGAGCAGCCTCTAAGCAAACAAAATTCTTAGGCTGCTTTTCCACCCCAGCAGCCAAGATCAGCACGTGTCTTTGAGGGCACTCCCTACCCCTGCTTGTACCCCACTTCCTTCACTTCTCCACATCTGGGGTCCAAGGCTCTGTTTTTTTTTTAATGTATTTTTTTATATTTATTTTTATTTATTACATTTATTTATTGTGTGTGTGTGTGTGGCCAGCTCAGCCCACCAGGGGGGCGGGTCTGGCTGGCATGTGGTGCTGGGGGATTGAACCATGGTCCCTGTGCTTTGCCAAGCTTGTTTCAAGTAGGTGCTTTAGACCACTGAGCCATCTCTCCAGCCCCCAAGGCTCTGTTTTAATCCTGTTCTTTCCCAAACTCTTCACTTACACTGGGAAAGTGGACTAGGATTTCCTTCATCATTCCAACAGTCTGCGACCCAATCCCCAGGCCTGGGTGCTACCTTCCCTCCTCCAGATGTCTCCTCCCTTGAACAAAAAAGAGGTCCCCAGGGGTGGGAGCTGGAGTTGGCCCCCCACCCCCAGTCTGCTTTCTGCTTCTCAGCCCCAGGTTCCAGAGAGCCTTGCTATGGAGCAGAACTCAGTGAATTTCCGGAAGCTCCCAAGGACTCAGATCAGGCAGCTGGACCTGGAGCTAGGTAGAATGAGAAAACCAGGAGAGGCAGCTGGCATCCCTGTCCTGCCTGTACCCATCCTTTGGGCCACCCCAGCCTCTTTTTTTTTTTTT